CTTGTATTTGGACAATTTTTCCATAATTTTCCTTGAGGTGTTTCTCTCAGATGGTATTGCTATGTCAATGAGCATACATTTCTTGAATTTCTTGTCTTTTATGATAATATCAGGTCTGTTGGCTTTTATTTCCCTGTCAGTTTGAATTGGCATGTCCCAGAGGGTAGTTACATAGTTATTTTGTGTCTTGTTAGTGCTCATACCATCTCTCAGTAGTTTCGATTTCGTGCTTCTTGCATATCTTCCGGTACATATATGTCGCTACATTGTTATGTCTGTGGGTCTATTCATTTTTGGCTAGTTTCGGACATAATGCGACACTGTAAGAATGCTAATGATTTGAAGAGAGTAAAAAGGCTTAAATTAAATCGAAAGTGAACGCAAAAGCGAAGAGGGTCAAAGATAGACTGAAGGACATACCGAAAAAAAAAAGAAAGAAAATATATGTTTTTTTCTCATTTCGTGAATAAAGGACCTCGCTAGAAGATAGCGCTGAAATCCACTTGAGCATCTGTTTAAAGTGAGGTCCAAGGGACGATGTGCGATAACATCCGCGAATCGACCAGAATTGGCATTTCCGGGTCGAGACTACCAAGTCAGCCACAGATAATAATTTTTATGGCTATAAGTGATGAAGAGGGTTAAGAAATGATTCTGTGTTATTTGTTGATAGGGGTGGAAGGTGTACATGTTGCTGGAGAAGTGAGATTTCTTTCGGTCCAATACAGAACTCTCGAATGATGAAGAATTCAATCAATTGGTAAGATAACAGTTTGAGCAAACATTCTCCGAAGACAAGGGAGGAATTATAATTGCCCAAGAGGAGAATTCTGAAAATTATCAAAACTTTATGACAAAGGATATTTCTGATGATGTGAAGTTGAGACAGATAATTTTGATTAACGAACGCATGCCACCCAATTGAAGGACTCCGATTGGTGAGAGAGAGAGAGAGAGAGGAGAAAATAGACTACGCTCATTGAGGGGTGTTGGTATAAGGTATGAATAAGAGAAAGAGAGAGTATGTGGGGCAGGTCGACGCCGTGCTAGCACTGCTCTCCGGAGGATGGATTCCCCAAATTTGAATATGCAAATTGCTTCCCAGGACACGGTCAGTAGTGAGTTTTGACTGGATATCTGGAAACTCCTAGAACTCCAGCTCAAGTCGGACCCCACCCCGACGTTGGGCAAGGGTCCATAAAAGCGTTATTTTGGAGTGGAATTGTAGAGTATCAGCTGAGGCAGAGATGCGTTTTCGTTATATCAGGAGGTGACGATCGCTTCGCTGATCCCCATGTGACTTTGCCGAGGAGAACTTCCGACTCATGCCTTGTTCCAGACTATTAGATTATATCTAGCCAATTCAACTGTAAAATGATGAGACCTAGCCGCCAATTTAGTACTGCACTTAAATTCATAAAGTCTAGGTAGCAAAGAGGAAAGCTCATTAGAATAATTACCATGAACATATTTATCAGATTAAGAAACTGTTAGCATAGAACTTACGGTTAAATCTATCCAATTCAACTGTAAGATGATGAGACCTAACTGCCAATCTAGTACAGCTCTTAAATTCATAAAGTCTAGGTAGCAAAGAGGAAAGCTCATTAGAATAATTAACATGAACATATTTATCAGATTAAGAAACTGTTAGCATAGAACTTACGGTTAAATCTATCCAATTCAACTGTAAGATGATGAGACCTAACTGCCAATCTAGTACTGCTCTTAAATTCATAAAGTCTAGGTAGCAAAGGGGATAGCTCATCAGAATAATTACCATGAACATACTTATCAGATTAAGAAACTGTTAGCATAGAACTTACGGTTAAATCCAGCCAATTAAATGTAAGATGATGAGACCTAACTGCCAATCTAGTACTGCTCTTAAATTCATAAAGTCTAGGTGGCAAAGAGGAAAGCTCATTAGAATAATTACCATGAACATACTTATCAGATTAAGAAACTATTAGAATAGAACTTATGGTTACATCTAGCCATTTCAACAGTAAAATGATGAGACCTAGCTGCCAATCTAGTACTGCTCTTAAATTCATAAAGTCTAGATAGCAAAGAGGATAGCTCATCAGAATAATTACCGTGAAGATTCATAGATTAAGAAACTGTTAGAATAGAATTTATGGTTACATCTAGCCATTTCAACTGCAAAATGATGAGACCTAGCTGCCAATTTAGTACTGTGCTTAAATTCATAAAGTCTAGGTAGCAAAGAGGAAAGCTCATTAAAATAATTACCATGAACATACTTATCAGATTAAGAAACTGTTAGCATAGAACTTACGGTTAAATCTAGCCAATTAAATGTAAGATGATGAGACCTAACTTCCAATCTAGTACTGCTCTTAAATTCATAAAGTCTAGGTAGCAAAGAGGAAAGCCCATTAGAATAATTACCATGAACATACTTATCAGATTAAGAAACTGTTAGCATAGAACTTACGGTTAAATCTAGCCAATTCAACTTTTTGCTATTCAAGACGGAAAAAGGTTCTGTTGTATTATTTAATTTGTTTTTGTTATAAATAAAACTACACTTACCAAAAAAAGAAAAATTACATTTATTTACAGTTAGTGCGTAGTGATTTTCTGCAAGGAAAGTCTGTAAAAGAAGTAAATAGGCCAATTTTTCTGATTACGCCTGCGTAGGTACTACGCAGTGAATTAGTAATCATGATGGCAGTAATGGAGTACGAATGACCAACAAGAAGTCCGATTTTCTCTTGTCGATAACTCCAAAATTATGAAAGTTTCTTCATAATTTAATTGTTAATTCGAGTTCAGCATGTACATTTGTACGGAATTATGACGATTTTGGAAATTTCGGGAAACAAAACCAAAATTTACTTAATAACAATAATTACAATTACAATAAAGATTAAAGTTTAAAAAGTGCCCAGATTAAGTTCTTAAAATTACGACCTTTGATCTAAAGAAAAGCAATGTTTCGTCATCATAAACAATGCAAAAAAAAATACAGAATTTGAATATGTTAAAAATAAATTTAAAAAATATGTTCTCATCCTAACATCATTATGAGTAAAAGTAAAAAATCCAACCAGTTATTTGCAGTTTGTTTATTGGCTGTTTATATTATTTCTTTATTTCCTTTCACATCCTGTTTTGGGGGAAAGCCTATTATTGATTGATCAAAAGTCTTTTCACGGACGCAAGCAAAAAAGGAAGTTGTTAAAAGATGGCGATGACGATAATTGATAAAATAAAAAAATAAAACTTTTATGAAATTATAGAAGCCAATCCCGAATAAGCCTCTTTCTTTGAATGGAGGGATAGAATGTTATACTCTTCTTAAGTGTCAAAATAAACAGAGAGAAAGAAGTAGGAAAAATAGTTTTGTCGTCACTTTTCTTAACTGGAGAAAAAATACACGTGTTCTGAAACTGCACTATTTCTTACAATAAAACAAAATCTTTTTAGATATATAGGTCAATTCTAGAATGTAAAGAAAAAAAAGAGTCTGTCAAGTTAAAAAATGTAGATAAATACAAGGTGGCATTTTCGAAATTAAAGAGAAAAAAAAAAAACGAAATAAAGAAACGACTAAAACGTTTTATTTGTACGCTTGTGGTAGCAGCTTTTTATTATCAATTTTATCAAAACCATTGAATTATTACCAGAGTATCTTGCTCGAATAAAATCCACGAATAACGGGATTCAATTTCTAGAACAATGACAAAATTAAATATTCAGCTGCTTCTTAAGTGTACCCGGTAGACGTTAGTCGAACCGAATCTAAATTCTTTTTTATGTACCGTGTTCCTTCAGGGCGTAGGCGATCGTGACTCTCCACATTTTCTTATCCTTTGTAGCACTTAAAAAATGTGTCTTTTTTTTTGTTATCTCTCCTAAACCTTGTTCCGCTATCCGTTTACACAGGCTCATTCCTCAATGTGCTGTGTACGTGTCTCTTCAAGACGTAAGTGATCATGGCTCTCCACAATTTCCTGCCCTTCTTAATAATTCTTTTCTTTTTGTTATCTCTCTTAAACCTAGACGTGCCATCAATTTTTACACACGCTCATTCCTCTTTTTTATGTCCGGTGTCCCTTCAGGACGTAAGTGATCATGGCTCTCCACTATTTCCTGTCTTTCGTCTCTTAATAAATTTCATCTCGCGATCGCTTGAGAATACCAAGTGCTGTAATCTCGGATGTGCAGGTGGTGTAATGAATAATGGCTCGGAATTGTTAATCGGAGAGCCAAGTTCCAATTTACGTTGGATTCGTTATATTCAATTACGCGCAATACACTTGGGAAAGATATGAATCCTCTTCTCCCCCAGTTATGGGTTAATTAGTAAGACTTGTATAACTAAACTATTATTATCTCAAAAAAGCAATTCTTAAATTTAAAAATATTTTCTGGTTTTAAATAACCTGCTAAAAAGGTTGATAAGCCGTAAAAATTGAATCAATCAATCAATGAAATACTGATTAGCTACACAGGCATGTCTTTTAGATTTATTTACATCCTCTGGTATATAAATGTATAGAAACTACCGTGGCTACAAAGTGAGGGATCATTTTATATATTGATTGTAATACAGAATTGATCCTACACTTTATCTCCACATTATCATTTCTTGTTTGTTTATCAAATTCTGATTAGGTATGAATGCACAACTTCTCCCCCCAGCTATGGGTTAATTAGTAAGACTTTTGTCACTTAATTATTATTATTTAAAAAAAAAAACAATCTAAAAATATTTTCTGTCTTTAAATAACCTGCAAAGTTTGATAAGCCATAGAAAACGAATAAAAGTTGTTTGTTTTTTTTAATCAAGTTAAAATGAGATAAAAAAAAACATAAAAATTGAAAAAAAAATCGTAATCTGGAGTTTTTTAAAAAATTCGTATATTAATATCGAGTTCGCACTATAGAAGTTCTTTGTTAGGGAAAAAAAAACAGTACAAAAGATTTAGTATTTGCATAGAAAATAACAAAAAAAAGTGAATACTTACGCGGTTGTGATTAACACACGTTGTTTCCGTAAAATTT